AAGAAAGAAAGAAAGAAAGAAAGAAAGGACATAGTTGTAACTTGCTGAAGTTATATTTTTTCACCATACACTGAATATAATTTACTTTCAGTGGACCAATGTTTTCCTTCAATGGGCAAAATTTACTTCAACAAAATGACACACAATATATTATAAACTGCTAATTTAACCTACTTGAGGGTTTCTGAGAAATGTTTCTGGAAAGCTGTCACAACCACCTGCCCGATCAGACTTTGAACCTTTAACACCTGTGCTCCATAATCCTCTTACAGAAGATTCTTTCCAAGTTTTGTTGACAGCAAACAAGTTTGTATTAAATAAGTGACATATAGTCAGTTGAGAAAAGTTGTTAATAAAATCTTCAAGAGGTAACCTTTAAACAAGTTATTTTTCAGAGATATATACATATTTAATATAACATATTTAAAAATAAAAATAATTAAATGATTGTAGGTAAAAACATACCAAAATTCACTGGCATTATCACAAGTCAAACCTATTTTATTCAAGTCCGAATCCTTCACTCGTGACCATTCAGGATTTGTTGAAAGTAGTCGAGACAATTTTGATAGCGAGTATAGTCCTGGGGCATTTTGCTTTTCACTCTTGGCACTATTACTCCCACTCCCTCTACCACTACTTTGACCATCATCAGCACCAGCTTCCTCACTAAATAAAAATGAACAAGACCTTCATTCTAAGAGTACTGGAAAATGTATTTAATTTCTTTGTTCAGAAAAGAACTTCAAAATATCATATTAAAACAATTAACAAAATAAATAATGGATATAGGTTTTCCTCATGTACAGAAAAGACATTGATATTAAGGACAGTACAGAAGAACATGTTGTTGTTTTCTTTACTAATTTGAATTAATTACTTTCTTAAGAAAATTTGAAAACTATAGATTATAGATATGAACTAATAGCTTATTGCAAGCAAGGACGAACATTCAAGATTATCAGATTAAAAAAATCATCAATGCATATAAATTCACATAACATACGTGGTAGATGTTTGGCAAACGGAAGGAGCAGTCCCATTAGGGTCTCTCAGACGAACCATTGGTTGTTTCACTTGAGTTCTAAGAAAAAAGAGGCATATGAAATTTACTGGTCCACTAATCAAAATTGTGTTTAATTATATGAGAAAAGCATTAACATGGAATTTGACTTTCAGAACTGAATACTTCATGAAATTTTAAAGTTGAAACCAAATACTTGCCTGATAAATAAAAGAATAAAATTAATGAACTGCATCTCTAATATAGCCTGAATTATTGCAGAGGTCTGAAGCCAAGGGAAAAAAAGGCAAGAAAGGAGAAGGAAAAAAAAAAGGGGGGGGGGAAAGTTGCATTTTTCACAGTGCCTAAACAAACTGTTCTTAAGTAAATAAATGTACATAAGTATCCTAATGAAATTGTGTCCAAAGTTATTTGCTTATCTGTGATTAAAATTGTAAAATATTTATATTCTGTTTTAGGTATCAAAAGTTGAAAATAACATACTTAAAAAGCTTTTTCAATCCAGTGTCTCCTAGAGATATTTTCTTGATGCCAGTAACAAGGTAAGTTCCACCTTGGCGCAAGCCTATTTGCGATACAGCTCCTTCTTCACCAGGACTGGTAGTCTAAGGAAGTAATATTATACATGGTTTAGTATTAATGATACGATAATATCTTTAAACAAAGGCATTGTTTAATATTTCAATATCTAGAACTTATTGATGTATTTATTAATGCACTGACTAATATGACCTATTCATACAAGATAAAGGATGTTATATTTTGAATATAAAATTTTGTTAATTAATAATTTCATTTTTA